TTTTTTTTTTTTTTTTTTTTTTTTTTTTTTTTTTTTTTTTTTTTCTTTTTTTTTCTACCGGGTTACCACGACAGCCTACTAGCCTAGTCGCGGGGGCTACCCACTCACCACCTATGTGTGGGAATGTATTGCCACACCCATTTCCAAACCTTTTTCCTCATATCCTATCTGAATCAATGGGTACATTGTGAGTATCTCCGGTGGAACACCTTGCCAGTTAAACTGACACTCTGTACCAATAGTGCATCGGGTCCACTCACCACTGTGTAGCCTTTCCCCGGAGAAGACTACATTAGTACAGAACATCCACTCCTCGCCGGTTAAGCCGGCGCTCTCTGCCGAAGCATCGGATCCAGGCTAACTAGAATCCCTGGAGAAGCCCTGTGTTTCAGGGGCCACTCCTCGCCGGTAAGGCCGGTGATTCCTGCCCGACGCCTGGCTAATCCCTACCTATAGCCCTACTACTGTTTCGCATTCACCCAGGCCCGAAAACCTGTGGGGCAAAAAAAAACCCTAGAATTACTCTGAAGGAAAATTCCACGGAAAAACCGGCCCCGAAACAGCTGGGGTTACATACACGGAAATATGTTTTCCTCTGAAAGCTGACGTACGAGATGCGCTCACTCATAGATGGCATGACGTACTTGAATAATAGAGGGAACGGTACCTTAAGTAAATATTTGTTTCTGTACCTCATATAGTCCGACTCAGTCATCAATTTATTTGCATAACGTGTGCCTGCGATCCAGGTTCGGTACCTCAAATTCGAGGGTACCGCCTACCATTACCTCTAATAACCGAGAACGTTATGCCATCTATGAAAAGCACAAATCGTACACAAACTTTTAGGAGACATTACATTTCTTTTAGGTTCGGTACCTCAGATTCTAAGAGACAGTCTATTGTTCCTTCTAATAACCGAGTAAGTCATACCATATGTGGGTTAGCACATCTCGTACGCAAGCTTTCAGAGGAAGACATATTTCCGTGTAGGAACTTTTCCCGATGAAAAGAGTTGAACAGAAAAAATCTGCATTAACCGGCAATCGAACCCACGACCCCTAGAACTGTGTTGTATCAGTAACAAGCACGCTTACCACTGAGCCAACGCCGCTCTACCAACAAACATATTAAAACCTAACAAAGTTGACAGAAAACAGTATATAGGGCTCACAAAAGTATTAACTATGCTAAAAGTTGTAAGAAGGCGAATCAAAAAGAAAACTTCAAATGCAGCTAATATATAAAGCAGCAGCATCAAAATCGACAAATAAAAAATTTACTAAGTGAAAGATCAGCATTGCATTATAACCCTTACAGTTAATGTAGAGAGTAAGCTTTAAGACTTTGTTGCTCTGGTAGTAAAGTTGTGAGATAAGAGAAAAAAAATTTTTTATTATATATTTTTTGTGAGTTTTAAATCCTCAAAGTAGAGGGAAGGGTCTGTAGATTCCTTATTTATGCGTTAGTACATTCTAGAAAACCTTGGCCTCAGAAAAATATCTTAGACTAATGGTGATATAAACGATAACAATAATAATAATNATGATGATGATGATGATGATGATGATGATGATGATGATGATGATGATGATGATGATGATGATGATGATGATGATGATGATGATGATGATGATGATGATGATGATGATGATGATGATGATGATGATGATGATGATGATGATGATGATGATGATGATGATGATGATGATGATGATGATGATCATGATGATGGTGATGATGATGATGATGGTGATGGTGATGGTGATGACGACGACGACGCAAAGTTTCGCCAAGGTCTTTAAAAAGATGAGGACTGATTTCAAGCTGGAAGAGGCCGAGATCACAGTCAAAGGAGTCATTACGCTAATAGGTACGCTTAGTAACGCTGGAAATCCGGGATCTGGATCCGAATACCGAGAAGACCGATGTTGTTTATGCAACTTGCGTTAAGTGAGATCCCTGGTTGCTCGCTGCATAGGAGCACAGTGACGTTGCTAGGAGCGAATGAGAGAGGTCAGAAAGTAGCTCTGAAAAACATTGGAGGGACCGATTCTAAAACTATAGGAGAAATGAAAAGCTTGTTAATAGGCTTTACAAGCTGCTGGTTAGAGAGACGGATTAAAGTTTTTAGATATCACCGGAGTCTGTGGTACGGACTCATAGCCCGAAATTGCGATAGGAAAGAAGTTATGCTTCTAACTTGGCAGCTGCAATCACCGCAAGAAAGACTGCAAACCTTAGAGCATACAGTGAAATAACCATTCCAGATTTAAGCTGCGCTGACTTACTTAAACCATCAGCAAGGGAAAGCAACGAGAATTAATGTTCTTGCAAAATAGCAGTTGACCAGACGAAGTAAAGAGAAGGCAAAATCATGATGGCAACAACACTCCGATGAAGGCCACGTTAATGGTTAACACTCTGTGGCTCGGCTTCAAGTTTTAATGTGAAAGCGAATTCCGAGCTATGTGTCGTAGGAAATAAGTCTTGCCAATTTAGTGGATATTCAGTCTGTATCGGTAAGAACATCATAGTGGAAAACAACATCTTCAGGCAGAGTGCAAGTCCCACTCACAAAAGGGGTTCGTGCCCCTTTTTGTGATACGTTAAGGCATTTTAGACTACTTCAGATAAAGAAGAAAAAATATTAGTTACATTTTATGTTTTTCGTTATTTGTTCCATTATAACAACGATGACAACAACTACAAGAAGAATAGTAATAGAAATAATAACAATGATAATCGTAATTATCACAGTCATAGTCATGTACACATGATTTCAAATTTTTGCGCACGATTAATTTTTTGATATGCAGAGTTGGATGATTAACTTGACTTGTTTTTTTTACTAGCAACGCTAATTTTTATTTTATGATTCGATTGTATGCAATTTAGTTCATAATGTTGTAACCATTTTAACTTTTATATTTTATTATTATTATTCTGAATCCTATTAAGAACCTTCTTATTACTAGCCCTTAAAAAGTGATTTAATGGTTGAAGTGTTATTGGTGAATTTCCAAAGTTATTATTTTGTTAGAATTGTAAGAATATACTTTTACTGGTTCAATAAAAAACTTTTTTATTTTTTAGCACCTTACAGAAGAAGAAACTGGATTAGATTTAGTTAGGCAACGAATCATTGTTGAACAACGTTTAAATCATCTTGAGCAAGAAAAACTTCGGAACATGAAATATGCCTCATTAATAATTGAACACAGTCTTTACATTATTTGGAGTCACCTAGATTTTTATGCAATACAAACAGTCATTCAGTTAAAACCTTACTGTAAGTAATGTTAAATTCTTATTTATTTTTTGAACTCAAAACGAAATGTTTTATCAAATAAATTGATTACAGTGCCCATAATGTCCTTGAATGAAAATACCTTGGAGTTAAAGAAAGTTAATGAATCACTTCCAGAATTAAAAAAAGGATTGAGTTCTGTTCTTACCGATAACTTTACTACAAAATTGTTAGAAATGTATACTGAGTTTTCAACAACTGAACAATGCTTTGTTGAAGCACTTATTAGAAGAATTAAACGGCTCTTGCAATTCATTGTTATCAAATAAATAATTTAAAAATGCATTGCTTTACTAACAAAACCAAATGGAAATAATCTTCGAAAATTTCTTATGTTTTAATAATGTGACAAGACTCTATAATGTACATAATCTTTAAAAATATTTTCTACAACTCGATTTGAAGTAATTCTTTTAATCCTAATGAAATATAATCTCACTGGTGATAATTCGAAGTTGTTATGTAATCCAGCATAATTACACAAGCGTTTTATTCAGACACATAAAATTTTGGAACATTCGAGCTTTTTAGATATCATCAGGAGTGATGTGCTTTTCTAAAATACGGGAACTATGAGAATTGAGAATTTAAAATTACATATGAAGTGAACTACTTTTTTTTATATACATGTGCTTAAAAGTAAGTTTAGCTGTATAATTTGTTTGCACATTTCCATACTGTCAGTATTTACATATTTTTATTGGGTTGAATTTTTGTTTAGTCTCTTTCCACCCCCTCTTATAGCTTTATAACCCCACAACTGGATAATCTAACACAATTTTGAAGAACTCCCTTCAGTCACTCTTCAGCCGCATCTCTAAATGAAGTGAAATAACATCGATTTTTATGTCATTTCAAATTATATGACCATTTGCACCTTCTGTCTCAGCTCTCCTTACTGTTTTAAAAAAAACCCTTATTTCTAGCACATAAGCACAATTTCATACCACCGTTGAGTTAGTGCTATGGTGCGCTGATTTTTTTTTCTTAAATTTTCTAATAGCGTATTAATTGCATTATTGAGTATGCAAAAAACATTACATTATATTCTTATACTTAATCAATAACAACGAATAAACTTGAAGAATATTCAAACGGTGGACAATGCTTGTAGCCTTATTTATGATCACGAAAAGATAGAAACCGAATTTATTGAAATATGTCAAATAATGCGCATCATCATAAAACAATATTTTAATAATAATGGCATTAATTTAATACATTTTTTTATTATTTAAATTAACGGTGCAATAATATAATATACAATTTTATACTTTTGCTAATGTCAGGGTGAGATACAAACCACTGGACTGAGAGAGGGGTCCAATCAAGTGACCGTGAGTTGTATGTGATCACTTAACGAGACCTCTATCACTCAGTCTAATGGGCTGTAATGGAAGCGAGTCTGCCAGTCTGTAGACTGCCAGATTTCATGGAATCTCACCCTTGAAAAATTGAATTTTTTTTATCTATTTTAGATTAGTTAACGTCAAACATTTTTTTTTTCAAACAATATTTTCTATTTCTAAATAATTATCACGTTCTATTTGAATATAAAATCCATTTACATTTTTGCATCTTGATAACGCGACGTATAATTAACCGTGCGAAAACAATTTTTTTTTCAATGTAATCGAATATTATTAAAACTTTGACCTTGAGATTTATTAATAGTCATTGAAAACACTAAGACTAAAGAAAATTGTTTTCTGTAAATAATAAAAAGTAATAATTATGAATTTCTTGTATTCACAGTTATTTTTAGTGTAAAAACTCCCTTTCTAATTTTTTCTCCAGTTATAATTTTTGCTTCAATATTGTATTTAAGTAATTTTGTAGTTTTTAACCTTGTACCATTACATCAGCCATCAACTATACTTAAATTTTGGATCAACGTAACCATTGCTCAAATTTTTGAATTTAGCACATGCGGTGGTAAGCCTTTACGAATATTTTTAAAAAATTCAATTGAAAAATTTATACAAATATCATTTTCAGATTTATGAACTCTTGTAAGTAGCATCATCTATGCTGTAATATGTTTTTATATCTCTTATGACATGATTAGTATTTGATGATTTAAAAAGTGAGTATATTCGTTATGAGAAGTAAGTATAACGATATTTATTAAAAAGTTAATATCCGTACTAAAAATGCCGGAACAAGCATCAGTTGTTTTTATTTATTTAGTACTTGAAGTGATTTGATTTTTAATTCTCTAATATCTAACAATAATTTTAAAAACGTTTTGTCAGTCGAACGTATATATATCATATTAAGTTTTAGAATACCGAACAACGACTAAAGATATGATGATTTAATACTTTCTTGTATAATTATGCTTCCATTACTATTTTTTAAAACTGGAAAAATCTGTCTGTAATAGCTTCCTAAAACATTAAATTTATTACTAAAATACATATTTGCATCATATAAATCACGTAATGTTCTTTCAACTATTTCTAAGGGATCAAAAACGCCTCGTCTCATTTAATTGAATGTACTTCTTTCAACTTTTTTTTTTCTCATTCAAAGTCAAAGCACAACCTTTCTACATTATTTAAGTCTAATGGTAAACGAAACGTTCTATGACAAATCATTGCTCTTGGAAGTAATATTGATGCTATGATGCTATGATGCCATAGATGTCCATGCCATAGATAAATTTTTTTTCTACGAAAAATAAAATAATAAATTGACATTTTACATAGAAAAGTTTTTCCTGAATTTCCTGGACCATCTATAAAAAAAATTTTATTCGTTTGTTTACGTATAATATAAAAAATCGTGATTTACGATCAGAGGGACTCATTACGGCCAGAAAGTAATATCACAATCTTCTCATTATGCAGAGGGGGAGCCTCACTCTCTTATATATACTTCCCCGGGTCATTGGGTAATAGGTGCTTGTGTTATTAGTTAATAATTTATTATTCAACAGAGTGACCAGTTAGCGCCCCAGGTTATCGAGTGTTAGGCGCTTGTGTTATTAATGTAACGTTTTATTGATAAATAAAGTTGTCAGTAAGCGCCCGGGAGACTTGGATGTTAGGCGCTTGTGTTGCCTTCTGACAAACAGCGCGTTGAAAACGTTTAGAACGCGATACAACTTTTATAAAAGATCTATTACAATCTCTATTTCCAACCCATGTGACCGTAGCTTTAGGCTGAAATTACATAGAGCGGAATAGAGAGAACAGGATAGAAATTTATCCATAAGCGACTGTGTTAAGTCTATTGCACTGCATAATAGACCTATTGCGCGGCGCAATAGACTTAACACAGTCGTTACATAGATATTTAAATGAGTTATTAAGATGATTCAAATGTGTTTGTATTAAAAAAATTTTTTTTTAATAGTGCATATGTTACGCGACGTCTTATTCGAGTCTTAGCTTGCGCTTAATAACTCAGGATTTACACTGGGCGCATAGGTGGGAACCAGGTCTAAAAGGTAGCTAAATCTCTTGACAGGGCGTCCTGAAGAGGGGAAGCCTGACTGTTCTGATCGAATTGAAGCGGTTGTCACTCGTTTGCGGCGCGCCTGTGATTCGTCAGAAATACCCGACGCGATGGTGTCAAACTAGTGTCCCGTCCGTGATCTAGAGATTAAAGGTAGTTACGCCCTAGAGGTTACGCAAGGGAAAAAATAGTTCAAGTTCGCGACCGATCTGTGAGCCACCAATACCATCCGGAGTAAATGTGATTATTCTGGATTTACCTAAAGAAAGGAAGTATAAGGTTAAGTTCGTGACCGGTCCAAGAGCCATCAATACCATGCGAAGTAAAAGGTAATTGCCTCAGATTTACGTGAAGAACGAGTTTTAAGTTCGCGATCGATCTATGAGCCACCAATACCATCCGGAGTAAACGGTGATTGCCCCAGATTTACGCGACGTATAAGTTTGAGTTCGCGATCGATCTATGAGCTACCAATATCATCCGGAGTAAATGTGATTGCTCTAGATTCACGAAAAACACTTGATTACATATTATCGCGGTTTTAGAACTTATCGATAGTATAGGCAATTATGCAGACTTTGCGGCAAAAGAGAAAAACAGAGTTAACTATTTTAATACTTTAGAAAAACTTACTCTTATTTTAAGTATTAGAATGTACACGCGGAGAACCAGCGCGAAGTGTCCGAGGTTAAAACTTTTGAAACCGCACTCGTGAAGGGCCGTGGGATAGCAGAGACGGTCTCTAACTATCCAGTCAACCGTTCGAGGGTAAAATTTGAACTGTACTGTACCTCGCTTCGCAGTAAACTGGGTTGTAGTAGAGGCGGACTCTTATTACTCAGTCTACCTTGAAGGGCTATCGTCGAGTTTTTTTCTCGGGGCCTCCGGGCCTTTTTATAAGGAGTACCGGACCTCTGCGACGCGCTGGTTCGAGACGACGCTGAAAAATTTGCCGGAAAAATCTTGAAGGGGAAAGACAACAGCCAAAGATCTAAGTGGCTAGAGATGCTCTAGTTCAGCCACTCAAAAATTGGTACACCCCACATCCGGCTCATTCTCCTCCGTGCGTAAAAAAAGGGAAGGTGATTCACTTACTCGTGCCCTTCCTTTCTCTTTTACATCCAAATTTCACAAAAATTTTAATTTGACTTAATACTACTGTTAAGATAAAATATTGTTAATATTTACTAATGTTGGACACTGTTCGTTTATTCAACTAAACTTGTTGCAGAAAGAACGGAAAGAATCGCTTAATATTTAAATGAATACTTGGGTGAATAAACGATCGGTGTGCTACGGTACATCAACTAATAAACGGAAGTAACGTTGGCCGTTGTTATAACAACATATAATGATAACATAAGTTTAATAGTATGATAATAATGACAATAATGATAATAATAATAGTAATTATAGTAGTAGTAGTTATAATTATGAGAGTAAGGGTAGTGGTAACAATAGAAGTACCTTGCCTTTCGCGAGTTAACATAATTAAACTTACGGGTAGTTTTTACTAATTACAATATTGCAAAGATAATTCGGAGTTTCGGTAAAATTTTAGTTAATATGTTTTTCGCTTCTAGTCATTGGAGAGAGAGTCGGTGCGTGGTGCTCTGGGGATTTGAAATTCCGTTACTTCTATTGGGGCAGCCGCACGGACTCTTTCCCGACACAAATGAGTCAAGGAAAGGGAAAAGAGCTATTGTTAATGATCAGCTCGGTTTGCCCGTTTTCTTTTACATGTTAAACGAGTTAAAAAATTTAGGCTATTACCGATGGTATATGAAAAAATTTGGGAATGTAATAGAAAGAAGGGTAGCTCGGCGAGTTATGCATCTATAAAAACCAAATGAAAAGTTGATGATGTTGTAGTATGTATTATTGT